AAGTCTATGTCCTCAAGAAGAAAAAAAAAGGAGTTTTTTTCTATAAAAAATGTATTGATAGTAGAGTATTTTTTTTTCAAAGGGTGTGGTTTCTATAAGGTTGCAACCTTAAACAATCCAATTAAGGCGCACCTTCAAATTTTATCATAATATGTAATTTTGATCTAAAAAATTTGGTTTAATTATATATAAATTTATTACTATACTCAATAATAAAAAAATGGTTGAAATATTGTTTTAATACTATCACTTTTAAATTTAAATTTTTAATACCTTTGGAGTTAGGAGCATGGTAATGGTTGAATATGTGTTTCAAATTTAAAAACTATCAATACTTTCTTTTACTTTTGACTTTTTAGGGAAAGCTTTCTATGTTCCCCCTTCAACATAGAAGTTCTATCCTCCCCCTACCATCCAGCCGTACATTTTTTATCAAGAGAGCCACTCACTGTTTGATCTTAGATCCGACGTCTCAAAGTATTTTATTTTTAGTTTTTTTAATACAAATTTTCTGAATATGAAATTTGGTATGTGTCATCTTCTCATTGGGGCGCACCTATAAAAAATATGAACAATAATTTTCGATAAAAAATAATAATCAAAATACCCCTTAAATCTTTTAGGGGTATTTTGATCATTTTATTTTATTGAAAATATTTTTTTTTATATTTTTCATTTGTGCGAGTTTAATCGAGAAATGAACATCTAAATTTGGTATCAAAAAAGTCTATAGAAAAAAAATTAAAAATAAAACAGTATAGACATATGACATTGTGATTGGAGCAATCTTAGCCCTCCATTCAAAAATAAAAATGAACGGTTGGATAAAGTGAATGATAGAACTTCTATATTGTAGGGGGAACATAGAAAGCTTTCCCGACTTTTGTATGCTTTGGAATGGGAGGCCTAGAGGCAAAAGTTTTCTCCCTCTAAAAGGAAAGTTCTCTCTAGCTTGCTTTCTATCAACATCATTGTTCACAAAATTACCCGATCTAACCGCTAACTATCCGGTTAGATCTGGCCGGTTTCGATTTTGGGCGCTTAGGGTGATCAATCAGTATTTTTAAAAAAAATTTAAAAAATATATATAAATTCTCAAAAGTAAGGAATTTGATTTGTAATGCATTTTTAAATATTCTTTACATTATGGTGAAGATTAAAAATTGTTTTAGTCATTAATACTCACTTTTATATTTTTCCATCTTTTTTAGAAAATTTTAAAAATAGCCCTTGGAAAATATAAAATGAGTTAAAATCCCTTTTTTTCATTAATTTTCAACTTCATTTGAATATGTTTTGTTTTAATCATTCTTTATATGTTTTTTGTATTTTAGTAGATTTATTTTATTTTTCAACACTTTTTTGACCGTCTGGGACTTATCAAGTTAGCACGGTTGAATCGGCCGGTTTACCAATTAGGCCGGTTAAACCGCCTCCAGACCCATGTCTGGTTAACCGTTCCGATACAATTTTCCGAACATTGACCAGTATCTAAGCATCTCTCTCAAGTTTCGATTCTCAAACCTCCAATCTTTCAAATGACCTAGGTTTGGGCCTTTTGTAGAAATGGAATAAAAGATGGGAGGATAATCAAATTTTAAGATCTACACAAGTGAAAAATCAACTTTTTTGTCCCATCACTTTCTAAAAATGCAATTTATTGGGGTCAATTTTGATGAAAATATCAACTATTACCCTTGGAAAGCTTGGGATCCCATATACACATCACTTCCAACCTTCATTTTGTCATTTCTAGAGAGAGAATAATCTCCCAAAAAAGAGAGACATGGCCTCCGAAAGAAAAGTGGTGACAGACATGGCTTTTGAGAGAAAGGCGGTATTCCCATGAGTTTTGGATTTGTACGGATTCCACTTCTAGAGAAAAAAATCTCTCAATTGCTCTCAATGTTATCTTTCTGATAGCGATATAGCGGTGACCAAGATGTTCATCATCGTTGTTGTTTGGTCAAGAGGGCATGTTTAGAAGGGAAGATTGGTAATGGTTTTTTGTCGATGTTTAGAGAGGTAATATCTCTTATAACCTAAGATTGTAACCTTCATTGAGATAGTAGATTTCTACTTATCGAGATTGTGGATGTAGCCCTATGGGGTGAACCACATAAATTGTGTGTTATTGTGGTGTGATTTTTATGTTTGATTTATTTTTGGCACTTGATTTATAGTTATATTCATTTACTTCACATTTAACCAATCATGTACATGATCTTGGATGGGATCCCGGTTCCACAAGCTAGGAGTTCTCGAGAACCCTGCAATTAGTATCAAAGCACAAGGTGTATACGGGGCTAAGGCTTGCCTTAATAAAATAATATATGATGGAGTTTGATGGATACACGGTTTGAGGTAGAGAAATATGAAGGCAAAGTGTTTGTGAAAATTCCACAATAGAGGCAAGTAAGGAGAAATCAAGGAATCCTCGCCAAGGTAATTATGGTGATTTTGCTATGAAGGTAGAGATTGTTGGCTTTGATGATAGTCAAATTACTATACCCATATTTTTTTCTTAAGATTAAAGATATTACGGTAAAAAGAAAATGGACTTTCTTGGGAAACAAAAAAATGATATCTACATAAGAGAGTCTATGAAGACATAATACCTATCCTTTTGAGAGTTACTCCCATGGGAGTTATGGGAATGGATCTCCAAAAATGGAGATTGGTCTCTAAGAGAAACATGGCCTCCGAGAAAAAGGTGGTGAGAGATATGTCCTCCAAGAGATAGATGGCATTCACATGAGTTTTAAGTTGGTAAGGCTTCCACTGCTAGAAAGAGAAAATTTCTCGGTTACTCTCAAGGTTACCTTTCCGATAGCGGTATAGCGGTGGGCAAGATGTTCATCGACAATATTGTTTGGTCAGGAGGGTATGT